GTTGCCACTGAGTTGATTCCGACTCATAGTGACCCTATAGGACAGAGTAGAACTGCCCTATAGGGTTTCCAAGGAGCAGCTGGTGGATTTGAACTGCCGACCTTTTGGTTAGCAGCCATAGTTCTTAACCACCACGCCACCAGGGTTTCCACCTGGCATACTGTAGGTGCTCAATATTTGTTGAGTGGGGTGGGAGCAGCCAGTGAGGAGACTATGAGAAAAAGGTGTGGGAGAATCAAAGCAGGAACCAAGGGTAAACACTGCTCTCTTTCTCCAGAGAGATCTGGGAACTCTGGAGGCTACAGAATGGAACCACACTTTACCTATGCCCACAGAGGTATTTCTACATTTTTCTCTAGCAAACTAGAGATAAGTCTGATACCATAGAGCTCTAATTTTTCCCCCAAGAAGTTAACAGTAGAATCAAAGGTCTGTGTGGGTTGGGTTGAATGAAATGTGCCACCTTGAGTCTATGTCCTCATACAACTCTGTGAGGGATAAAAGACATTGGCCTTGCTGTCAAGGGCTTACAGTCCGGGAAAGGAGAAAAGACATAAACATAAATAACTACAAGAAGAATGTGAAATTGTTGTAAGTTAAAAAAAAAAAAAAAAGCTATGGGAGAACAAAAGGAAAGATTACTGTTTTAGATTGTGAGATAGGGTAGGGTAGGACATAACAATCAGGAGAGGCTGTAGGCAGGGAATGACATGAGCTGGTTGAAGAATGAGCAAGATTCCAATTCACAAAAATGTGAGGAAGGCATTTTAGGTGGAGGGAACAGCAAAAGCAAAGGCAGAGAGGTGGGAAAGTAGAGTATGCCAGGGAATGATTTAGCTGGAACCTAGGGTACGGGAAACAAGTTATGTAAGAAAAGACATCCAAGGGAGGTTGGGATTCAATCAAGGAGGGCCCAGCTAAAAGGTTTGGTTTTCTTTTCTATAAGCAGTGAAGAGCTACTTAAGATTTTTGAGTAAAAGAATGACATGATCAGTGCTGGGCTGTGCTGTCCTCTGAGGATAGAATCATATCAATAAATTTGAATCTATATGGTTTGTAGCACTGACCTGGCTGTACGTTCCCTGGTAGAAGACAGGGTGTGCCCTCCCATATTTCTCTTCAAAAGAGTGCATAAACGAAACAATGTCCCCAACGGGGTCAGTGACCCGGCTGCGAGGGTCTGGCCGTATAAAACGAAGAGCAAACCTGGGGAGGAAGGAATAAATATCACATGAATTCGGCTTACTGCAGTACATATGGAGTGGGCCAGTTTGAAAAGATTCCTATAACAGGGCCAGAGGCATGGCAGCAAAAAGAGGTGAACGGTCTGCGGGTGGACCACAAACCTGAGGGTAGAGTCTGCCTCAAAAGCTGCAAAATAGCAAGGTGTCATTTTATTGCCTGTTCAAGAAACTACTAGGATTACAAATGCCAACACAGGCCTAAACAGATCCTGAGTGCTTTTTGTGGAAAAATTTAGTGCTAGAAGAACTAGAAGAGAGCATCCAAAAATATCATGGGGTCAGGCTGGGTCCAGACCCTCTACAATGGCACGAATACGGTGGCCACTAGCCACATGTGGTTACCTAATTTAAATTAATTAAATACAATTAAAAACTCAGTTCCTTAGTCACACTAACCGCATTTTAAGTGCTCAATAGTTACATATGGTTACTGGCTTCCATAATGGACAGTTAACAGATATCGAATATTCCCTTCATCTCAGAAAGTTCTATTGGACAGCACTGTTCTAGAACGGAGACCTGTCTCTTCCTGGTTACTTGTCTTTGCCTCTCCCTTTCTGTACTTCTGGGACTTCGAATTTTTAGTTCATATTCCCAAGCTATTCAAATTATGGCTAGGAACTTCAAACCTGAACTTGTAGTCACGATCCACTTGCTTTTCAAAGGGGCAAGTAAATTCTGCTTGATGATTTATGGTTTACGGCATCCATGGAGGAAGTTATAAAACTGATCAAAAACTGGCAGATTTGGAGTACTGGCAGCTATTGTAAGGTTAAGCATGTGCATACCTGATGGTATCACACATCTTTTTCTAAAGAGCTCATCCTAACGTATTCATGTAGCCCCATTTTTTATCCTTTGGGTTTCCACAGAAGTCAATGTGACAGGCGCCTGATAAGTCGATGAGCTACATAACATTAAATAAGTTGCTTGGATGATACAGCTGCATTAAAATTAGTAACACATGCCACGCACATTTTTCCAAGGAAAGCAAACAATATTCATCTGAGGAATTTTCAGCACAGAAAAGGTGACTAAAGTATCACTAGTGACTAAAGGTGACTAATGATACCTTCCTTACCAAATCTTGAGCCAATTCCTTATTCCCTCAACAAATTCCACGTAAGTATACAATTCCACTTGGAATTTCTCTTGAGTAATCAAATCAAATTTATTGACATAAGCATTCCAGAACAAATTAAAGCCACACAATATAAGAAGTTGTGTATGTGAGGGAGTGATTAGAAATCCTTTAGAAGATTGCCATTTTGATTGCATCAGCCGGTTCTAATTAATACCCTTGAAATTAAAAGTATTTTAGGATTATCATACTATTGTTCAAGTCTTCCAATCTTGATAAATGGATAAAGGGTTTTAACTTTTTGTCTCTCATTACAATATATTCCCATGGCCTAGATACTTTAGGACTATCAACTTTTCTAAAAAATAGAGAGGTCAACTTAGTCTTCTTTATGATTTAAAAGGATCAAGTGCTCATTCTTAAATAAACAGGGATAGAGAGAATACTGATCGCTTAATTGGTGACCATTAAGAATTATGCTAAAGCAAGAAAGCCATTAAGCAGGCAGCCTCATAAAACGTCAAAGGGTCAAGGTAAAAGGTTCTGATCTGGCCCTTGTACTTCAGCGGCTGCTGGGCCCTCACTTCCAGCCTCTGCTCCCTCATATTTGGAGGGAGGAACAGGTTGCCTGTATGCAAGGCCCAGAACCACATATTCTAGCTCTGTCTGTTGGCCTGGATGCCCCATAAATGTTTTCATTCCTCTTAAAGCCTAGGCATGGGTTCAGCTACTACTCAGCCCTAGACCAGATACCCCAAGCCTAATATGGCAGCTAGCCGGGCCCCACTCAACATTTTCTAGCTTCCAATGATGAGCTCTTTGAATGGTACATGAAAGAAGCTAGAAGAAATATGAAGATACGAAGCAAGTGGGTATATACATGGAAGGGTTCCAGTGTCAGCAACCTACAGGTTGCCAGGGCTGAGTGAAATGTACCGAAGGGGTATCTAGAGAGGTGAAACTGGTGTGGGAGGAATCTAGAGAGAAGAAGGTAATCTCAGAGCAAGAGAATTTATTGGGATAGAGAATTTATTGGGATTACGAGAAGTCAGATGGAATAGAAGTGGTTTAGGGTAAAAGTTATGAGGAGTGTGAAGCTAGGAGATAATGGTGGTTAGATAGGAAAGGGTGTGGAGATTAACCAGGGAACGTAGAGGTAACAAACATGGTGGGGGGGCGATAAATGTAGGTAGACTGATTCTTGAAAATGACAGGCAAGGCTAATTTAAAACAATTTCATACTATATTAAAAGACTGCTCAGGAAGGGCACTCAATTTGATGATAAACTGGCAAGTCCAAATTGAGAGCATAAACCTTATTCTGATCTAAGTTCAGGTTCCAAAGTCTACTTTGTTGCTACTAACACATAAATATAAAGGTACGTACCTAAATATATCAAGTATCGTGTAATAGGTAAACCGGAATGGAAGCATTATCAAGTAATAACCCCATCCAAGCAGCCCCTGAAATTCCAAAAACAAAGTTAGATACCTTTCTCTCAATCCTTGATACCTGACAAAGTGGCGAGTTCAGACTTGTACACTCTTTGTCATCCTCTCACACTATTTCTCCCTCTGCAATATGGTCCCCTCTTCCTGGCCACCTCAACCTTCTTACAGACCAACTGCCCTTGATCTCATTTTATCTAATACTATCATATTCTTCTTTTTTTACATATTTTATTTTTGCATTAAATGCGCTTTAGTACTTTTTTCTGCAGCTACTTGTATTAGCTGTCGAATGCAATTGCAAGTTTACCCCCTCAAATGATTATTCATTCTTTCCTTTTAAGATTTATACATCAAAATATGGTATATAGGAATAGCAAGAAAGATAAGGACTATTACTACATTGAACATGAGCATATAAATGATAAGTAATTATATTAACCACAATTATAAATCTCCATATAGCTGCTATCCTTAGTAATAATGCTAATTATAAATTATAATTTTCTTTAACAATGTTGGCAATGTTGATTATTACTACTGTTATTAATTTTAAACTAGCATATATATTGTGCTCTGGATTTTACAAAGTACATTTTTGTACATAATATTGTGTTAACCTGGGACCCTTTCTGTGACATTAGGGTCCCAAACATGAAATCAAACCCCAAACAAGCTGAGGAAACATCAGGCATAGATAGAATTATCCTTGCGTCATATAATTCTCTAGGAATCTGTGGTCTTTACTCAGAACACCCAAAACGATCACCTAGAAACTCCATTTCTGAACGTTGGCAAGTACTCCACAAAAAGGTATGGTGATGGGGTAAATTCTAACTGGTGCAACATCAAAGGGGGTACTTTCTTGGGATTACAAATGCAAATATGGCAGGTGACTGTAATCCCTGGGTATGAAAGAGAAACTCCTAGAAGTTCTTTGGAGTTCATTATCTGTATACACATCTGACTTCCCTAGTAGACTATGAGCAATTTGAGGGGAAGACTGGCTCTCAATTCATCTCTGAATCCCTAGCAACAAAACACCAGGAAGAGTGGACCACTCTTAAATGCCTGCTGGATTTAACTGAACCGCCTCTTTGCTACTAGCCTTAAGACTAATTTCAAAGATGTGGCTAAGGTCTCCAAAAAGACTCCAAGTACTTCCTCAGAAGTAGCTTAAAATTAAGTAAACTGAAGCAACAAAGAAATCAGTAAACAGAATCTAACATAGAAGTGGGAGATTAATTAAACATGTAGCAAACATTTTTAGACATGTGAATAAATCCACTGTGTACTCAAAACAAGGCACAGAAAATACTCCCCAAATAACAAGCAAAGGACAGAAAAAAAATTGATGGTTTCTATATCAATTCATCAAGGAATCAAGGACACATGATATATCCACTAACTTTATCAAGGAGTCTGGTTTAGCTATCAGGTTTACATGTTGAGTATTTTTTTTGCTACTATCATACAGTATAACATAAACGAATTAAAAAAATGGGGGAAATTTCAGCTGCAAAATAACTTGCCCTTGGTTGTGGTCTTGAGACAACATAGCTGTAGATCCTGTGGTCTGCTGTATTAACCTGCAGGGGTCGGGAAGGAGGTGGGTTGAAAACACTTGGTACACCCTCTTGCTCATTCAATCTGTCCTGTACAGCAGCCTGAGATGGGGGGAAGAAAAGTAGCAAGAGTTTCAGTAATGCTCAAATCAACCCAGAAGGGACTAACTATTGCTTGGTGTTTCAAAACAGGATGAACATTAATACACCAAAAGGTCACCTGAGGAGTGTACCTTCATGGACCTTTTAATCAACACAACTTCAATAAACACATCTGCTGGAGTGGGAGGCACCGTGCAGTGACAGCTCCAGAATTCATACACAGCAGGAAATGAGTGAACTGCCTGGAAGCTAAACTTATGCAACAAGCACACTGCTTTGATTAAACAGTACGTGCAATTTAGGGTGGCTGTTACAAGGTGCTACACTGTACAGGCCCGTGACAGCCATCCACCTAGAATACAACGTGGACAGTGCCCCTGGAGTTGTGCAAGGAAGCAGTCCTGATGGGGTGGTGTTTGATGGAGGGCTCTGGAGTAGAGGAACTTAGATGTGAATCCCAGCCCCATTACTCAGAAAAGTCTTTTGGTTTATGAGTCTCAATTTCCACCACATTTACACCATGTACATGCTGGTCTGTTTTCTTGGGAAAGTCTCTCATGAGATAGTGGGAAAATACAAGTGGCTCATGTACCCTGAGCTTGCCACTATTAAAAAAGAAAAAGGAAAAGTAGGAGGAAAAAGAAAAGCTACAAACAGAAGGTTAACTTGTAAATCTGAAAGTTGTGGGGAATTAATCTTTCTGAAATACAACTTCATGACACTCCAGTCATATGAGTTTTACGGTGCCTCCCCAGTAGCTACAGAATAATACCCAGTCCAATCTATTTCTTAAATCTTATTTTTAAAAATAGATAATATATTCATGCAGTACAAATAGGTATGCAGTAAAAGTCTTCCTCCTACCCTCGTCACATTAGCTACCCAGTTCTTCTTCTGTAAGACAAAGCACTAACATCTCCAGTTTACTTTACAACCTTCTAGAGATATGTGCATTCACAAGTGTATCTATATTATCACCACTTCCCATTTTCCCACATACCCATATGGTGGTGCAAACAATATGCGCTCTACGATAAACCTAAAGGTTGGTGGTTTGAACTCACCCAGTGGCACTATAGAAGAAAGGCCTGGTGATCTGCTTCTGTAAAGATTACAGCCAAGAAAACCCTATGGAGCAGGTTCTACTCTGTAACACATGGGGTCATCATAAGTAGGAATCGACTCAATGGTAACAGGTTTGGTTTTGGTTTTTTGTATACTCTACAAATTGTTCCCCTTTTGGTGACCACTTATTTCCAATCTTTTGATATTAAAAAAAAAAATTGCTGCAATAAACAATCTCATGCATCATTTTGCATGCAGGAACAGCCAGTAATGGATATTTCACCTTCTCGTGAAATACATAGCTTGTAATTACCTCTCTGACAAGAAAAATGAGAAAGCTGGATGGATAATATCCAGTGTTGGTAAGGGTGTAGAAAATTAGACACTCTCATGTACCATTGTCGGTAGTTACATTTAAGCAGCCTTTTGGGAAGGCAATTTTACAAAATCTATCAAATTTTAAAAATAACATATCTATGTCAACATAAGTTTTCTTAACATCTTTCACTCAGCAATTTCCCTTCTAGGAATTATTCTTCAGAAACACCCACAAGTACCCAGAGATATATGAAACTTTGTTCTCAGCAGCAATGTTTATTAACCAAACACCTAAATGGGTCCAACTGGGCAGGGGTGGGTGGGTGAAGTGGAATAGTGAGGGGGCGTAGGGGGGAGGGAGGACACGGACAATCTGGATAACTGCATCTTGAGACAATCAGATAATTCAATGCAGACATGCAAATTTGAAAAAGTTGTTTCTGCCACCATAAGCTTGACAGCTTCCCAATACTTTTCTGGTGAGTTTAGTGGTGCTGTTAATGAATATTTTATAATAAAATGTGTGAACATTTGGAAGAACTGCATTAAGTAAACCAATATTTTCCAAACAACCAATGCATGAAGTTACAAAGTTATGCATTTGTAAAAGATTTTTTCAAAGTACGAGGCAGACCAATAAATTTTAGTGTAACAGAAGATGAAAAGTTCAATGATATGATTTCAAATTCCACACTGCAACTAACCTTTAAGAAACTAACACTTCTGGACGAACGGAAACCTGGGAACTGGGGCAGAAAGGGAGAGAGTGCTGACATATTGCGGGGGATTGCAACCAATGTCACAAAACAATTTGTTTATAAATTTTTGAATGAGAAACTAATTTTCTCTGTACACTTTCACCTAAAGCACAATAAAGTACAATTAAAAAAAAAAAAGAAACTAACATTTGTTCACTTTTAGTGCAGTCTCAAAGAAGAACATCCATTTATCTAAAAAGGCTTTTGAAATATTCCTACTATTTCCAACTGTATCTTTGTGAAGTTAGGGTTCCTTCACATATATCAACAAAAACTATATATCACACAGATTGAATGTAGAAGTAGATATGAAAATCCAGCTGTTTTCTATTAAGCTTGATATTAGAGAGTTGCAAAAATATACTTATCTTTCATAAAAATGTTCACGTGTAGTATTATTTTTAAAAGTGAATAAACTTAAAACATTTTCTCAGTTTTAATTTCTAATATGGTAATAAATATCAACAGATATAACTCACTGCAAAAATGGCACGGCAGATGTGTCTGACCTCCTCTAACTTCACGAACACACACACGCAAAAAAACCCATTGCCATCGAGTCAATTCCGACCCATAGCAACCTCATAAGACAGAGTAGAACTGCCCCATTCCATTTCCAAGGAGTAGCTGGTGGATATGAACTGCTGACATTTTGGTTAGCAGCCGTAGCTCTTAACCACCGCGCCACCAGGGCTCCCAACTTCACAAGGGGGAAGGAGAATCAAGATCAACTGCCCAAGGCTGGTTCCTATGAGGTGGAGGTCAGACATACCTCCTCCTCTTGCCAGCCCTTTTTACCAATTCTGACACCATCTGTCCTTCCCACGGCACTATCTACTTCTCTGCTGAGTTCAATAATTCATTGCAATGGCCACACAGAACTCACAGACAATACTCATGATTATGGGGTTTATTAAGGAAGTAACAGATTACAATTCAGATTCAGGAACACTCAGGATACAGTTCTTTGATCAGGACAGCCCCTTCCCAGCCATGGCTGCAGGCAGGTATGTCTCTCAACCTGGGCCCCACGGTCTGGCCTCTGCCCTGCTCGGGCAAATGTTACAACGCTCTTTTAGCTCTGCCGATATGTGTCCAGAGGCACCCCACTCCACCAGTAAGCCTCAGCCTGAAGGTGCTCAGCTCTAGCTCCCTGGGTCAGGCAAACTTAGCTCCACCAAGTGCCCAGAGGCAACCTACTCTGCCAGCAAGCCTCCTAAGTGAAGGTGCTCAGCATTTTTGCACCAAAGGCCGAAAGCCAGGAAGCCCACCCACGCAATCTCCTGTTGGTCTCTTGGTTCTGCCATCGTTTCTCTGCTACTGCTTCTTGCCGTCTCTGATGTTATAGCTTTCCCTCTCTGTCTTCTGTGTTACACTCCTACTCTCTCTCTCTGTCTCCCTTTAAGCCTAATGGGATGGCAAAACTGACCAATTCCCTCGTTAGGGTTCCATACACCTCATTTGCATAGTCCCACCCAGTCATTTGGTGGGAGTTATAAAGACTATGGCTAGAAGGGCCATATAAAGTAATTCACCGCACTGGACCATATAAACAAGCTCTTTGGAGGTTCTCAATAATTCTTAAGAGTGTAAAGGAGTCCTAAAACCAAAAAGTTTGAGAACCCCTGGCTTATTATATATGTGAATGTACACAATAATTCCACTCATATGGGGAAAAATACATATATACATACATATTTCTAGACAGGCATAAAGATATCTAGAAAATTTCAAAAGAAACTGTTAACAGTGTCTACTTTGAGGAAGAAGGACTGGGAAGTAGTGGTAGAGAAGTGGTTTGGGGTGTTTTTCATATTTCATTTTAGAATTTGTTTGAACTTTAAAAAAATAAATTAATGCATCATTTTAATGAGTTATTAAACTAGATCAAAGTGAAAAAAGCTGTAAATACAGTATAATCCCATTTGTATAAGGAGAAAACTATATTAAATGCATATTTATATATTCATATAAACAGGAAAAAAAAATCTACAAAAAATTTACACTATCCATGAAGTAAGATGTTTACCTGTGTTAATTATTGACTACTCAAAGGCATCTGAATGTGAGGATCATAACAAATTATGGATAACACTGTGAAGAATGCGATTACCAGAACACTTAATTGTGCTCATGAGGAACCTGTAAAGAGACGAACAACAGGCAGTCATTCGAACAGGACAAGGGGATACTGTGTGGTAAAATCAGGAAAGGTGTGTATCAGGGTTGTATCCTTTCACCATACTTATTCAATTTGTATGGTGAGCAAATCATCCACGAAGTCGCACTATATGAAGAAGAACGTTGCATCAGGATTGGTGGAAGACTCATTAACAACCTGCAGATGACACAACCTTGCTTGCTGAAAGCAAGAGGACTTGAAGTACTTACTGATGAACATCAAAGACAACAGCCTTCAGTATGGATTACACCTCAACATAAAGAAAACAAAAATCCTCACAACTGGACCAATAAGCAACATCATGATAAATGGAGACAACACTGAAGTTGTCAAGAATTTCATTTTACTTGGATCCACAATCAACACCTATGGAAGCAGCAATCAAGAAATCAAACAACATATTGCACTGGGCAAATCTGCCGCAAAAGACCTCTTTAAAGTGTCAAAAAGCAAAGATGTCACCTTGAGGACTAAGGTGTGCCTAACCAAAGCCATGGTATTTTGAATCACCTCATATGCATGCAAAAGCTGGACAATGAATAAGAAGACTGAAGAAAAACTGATGCTTTTGAATTATGGTGTTGGGCTGCCAGAAGAATGAAAAAAATCTGTCTTGGAAGAAATACAGCCAGAGTGCTCCTTGGAAGCAAGGATGGCGAGACTTCATCTCCCGTACT